GGGGGAAGTCGGCCCATCTTAGATGATCCAGAAAATGAGCTTGACCTAGCCTAGTGTGTTTGGATGTATTGGAGGGCCAACATGTCATTTTCATGCTTGCACCAGAGAAAGAAATTCAGGCAAGAGAAAGAATCTGACATTCCAAGGGTCACTGGTCAAGGGGCGAAAATGACGTCGGATCTCGGGTGGGGACACGAAAGAAAAGCAGGTTCAGAACAAGAAATCCTGCATGTTCAATGCAAACCTCTCTGACTGGTAGGGCCAGCCCGACTTGTGGGGTTAACAAACTTGGTTCCTGAGTGAATTGCAAGAGGTGGAAACAAGGGCGCGCAAACGTTTTCGTCTGCAACAATCTAAACACTGAAGCCAACACACGAAATCTGAGCTAAGCTTATATCATCCGCAGCCGGAAGTGTACGGCGCAAGCCTTGTGCACGATGCTCTATCCAAAAAAGCACCTTGCAAGCAAAGGCCTGCGCATAGAGGTAAGGCACGAAAGAAGTTCGCATGTGCAAGTCCGAGGCATTTCTAGCGCTGCAAGCTGGGTCTTACCAGCTCGTTCAAGCGGTCAGACGCACCGGGAGCCGTTCCGGGTACCAGGCTCGCTGGCTCCGTTGGAGCCGATCAGCCTGAGTAAGGTCACGTCACAAGCTGAACGGTCGTCGCGGCGAAACTGACTGTTCTGAAAGGAGACACGGGTCTGGTCACGATGCAAAAGGAACAAGTGAGTCGAAGCTGGATCACCTCCTATACCGTTCATGAAAACAGGAAGCTTCTGTGTCAGGCGACCGGGTTCTTGCCAAAATGCATATAACATAGACCTACACGCTCACGGTTGCGATTGCATTGGGAGGGTTGAGGTCGACCAACATTTGAATACCTTTCCTAGCACACCTCTAGCTGGCAAGACGGCAAGTGAAAGGTGAATGACTGAGCAATCAAGCCAGGTTTCGATCATCCAATATTGCAAGTACCCAGCAATTGGCTGGTTCTTTGTCTGAATACCTGATGATGATGAGAGGGGGTTCGTGTCAAGTGCGTACCTCCAAGGACAGGCAATCTAGAATCTGTGCGAGCCCACATTTCGACACAAAACGTTGACTCAGGCAGCCTTTCGCTCAACGCATGAGAAGCGAAGCACATCTGCATGGGACCCTCCAAAACCAAGACCTGAGAATTCAGTGTTGCCACTGCTGAACCTGGAGAAACAGCAAGCTGGAAGCACCTCTTTAGTTCACCCGGCTTTTAGGCTGAAAGCCGTCCAACATCAAGTTCATCAAACATTGATACGACGGGAAGCCCTGTCAGCTTTCCGGTGGGCCAATGCCAATCGACATCAGGTTGAGGTTGAGTCAGGCGGAAAGTTTTCCGTCGCACGGCGTTTTCGCATCACGAGAGATGCCACCCGTGCCCTGCTTCGGCTAAGAAACCAATTGGCAAGCCCACGACACGGCACACTCCGACCATCAACATGCAGCTTGCGCTCTGCCTGCGTCAAGAAAGCCTATTTCGTTGCTTCTAAGAGCGATGGCCTCCAACCTACAAGCAATGGCCTCCAACCTAGAAGCAAACTAGCAAACCCATTTAAGTGGGTACGGGGCTGCGGAGAAAATGAGGTGTTTGTTGGTGTCATTGGAAGCAAAACGGTGCAGCACTAGACCTTGCTAAGGGGGCTGGCTAAATGTCCTTCTTGTCAATAAGGTTCCTGTTTCCTCAATGTGTGCCTTGATCAGTAAGACACAACTATTCCTAATGTTATTTATATCTGTCCATCCATCACAGCAACAATAGAAAACGGAAGTCTGGTCATTCACGAGCACCAAAAAGAGATCAACCTCGCTTTTCGTGGATATCGGCTGATGGCGTTCTTGCCTGCCCTGCTGTTCAAGCTGATGTTCTGGCAAGAAACAACAATGCTCCAGCTAGAGTTTGTCTTTGTTTGTGGCCCAGACTTTGCTCACCTTGACGCATCGGCAACCATCTGTAGAAGGCATCTCCACAAGGCTCTCACAGGCTCTCACATGTGCGAGAAAGGCCCAATCTCGACCGCCCCTCGGCACCACCGACCGGGCGAAACACCGAGGCACCAAAGAACCAGCACCACATCCTCTCGTACTTCGCGCTTCACGTACTTAGCTGCGAGGCTTCACGTGTGACACGCTGAGATGAAGCCTTTCAAGGCTTCATCTCAGCTTCCTCAGCCCAACGAAGTGCCGTTGACTCTGGACACACAACTCTTGGATTGACGTGGAAAGAGAATCGGCGGGAGTGACAGATGTATAGCAGCATGGCCAGGGGGGAAGTGGCACATGAGTGGCATGACTGGTTGTTTGGAGTGGCAGAAGTGTTGGCATTGGGTTGGATGGCACATAGCGCACATCTTGCGAGTTGTAGCTCCCTCACTAGCTGCACAAACACGGGGACGACCAACTTGAGACAGAAGGGGTTCCTTACGAAAGGAGCGTGGATGTAGCTAGTAGATAAGCAAGGGGGGGGTGAAAACTTCAGTGAGATGAGAGGATTGATCAAAGTATGAAAGCTGGGTCAGGCTGGATCCGATGATGACATGACCTGGTGAGATGCAGGATGACATGAGGATGATAAAGCTTCATGCAGTGGCCCGCTAGCCAAACCCAAGCTCACATTCAGCTGAGAAGGTTTGCAACAACTTCTTGATGGTTGCAGTTTCAGGCAATCTCTACACATGCAATTCCTTTCACCACTTTGTTTGTAGACGGCTCGTTTGTTTGCTCAGACTGTTCTGTTGTGCATCTGGAGACAGCTTATACAGAGGACCATCGTCAGAGTTCCAGGTCTGTGCGCCGCGCCTCCAACTCGTCGGTGGTCCGATTCTCCGGTTGACCCCGGAGGGATTGCTTGAGACTGGACATGCTGCGATTCTTCGCGCACCAATCGATTCCAATACATTCTAGCAACTGCACCATCTCGCAGCTGGGGAGATATGATGGCGTTCAAGCAATGCTGGGTTTGGGAATTCTATATAAACACGACAATAGCGGGTCACGCAAGCTCTGTAGCATGCCTTAGAATGCCTGGCTCCATACACGCGACACCTATTGCTTCGCAAGAACTGACAACATCGACCTAGACCTAGATCTTCCACGGGTACGCATCAAGTTTCTGCCTCTTAACACCAACATTAACACGTTGATGCATGGTGCCTGCTGTCCATGGCGGAGATTGCAAATCTTCTTTTCGTGATAGGTACAGCAGAGTCAGATTTCCACGGCTGAAGAGAGCTGTGGAAGTCCGACGACGATGCGTTTTGTTACACACGTTGTATGAGGGGTGCAATGGGTTTTAGGCTTCTCAGGTCCTACACATCAAGAGGCGCAACTGATTACTGGCATTTCCAGTGTGCTCCGAGTTCACTGCAACTATAGAGCAAAACAAGCATCACATGTTCAATAGATCTGTGGAACTTGGTAGAGCATCACACATTGAGTTCAAGTTGGTCAATTCATCATACAAAGCGGCTTATCCCCACAGCTCTGATGAGGTTTGTCTTCGTCTCAGCTTCTGGTCGGTCTGAGTTGGTTCTCTCTCCAGTGCCCACAGCTCTGGAGCAGCTCCAGAGCCATTTCGGCGACGAAAACGTGCCGTCGAGCAGTTGAGCGGGACACCTACAAGGTGTAAAAAGTGCTGAAAGCATTTGTGCCACGTGATCAACTTCTTTCGGGTGAAGTTAGAAGCTTTCACATGAGCATACATGAATCGGGTTCATCCAACAAATGAACGGCTACTCCCGCAAAGTCCAATCGTAGCACATCAGGGTTATCTTACTTCACCCAAAAAGGTGCGGCAGTGATCTGGAAGCCCGGAACAAATCAACCTTGAAATTGTGGGCGTCAACTCTTGAGTGCAAATCTGGTTCGAGATTCTCATGCCTGGAATAGAGGTGATCATCAAGCTCTTATTCAATTACAGTATTGGTTCTTGAACAAATGGTGGGGAATGGGTCCGGAGAACATCAGGCTCCTGCGAGCTGGTTGCAGACTTCAACCGGGTCGAGCACTCGTCAGACCGGATCGAGGGGAACCAGCCAAACATGAAGGACAAATAGGTTGTTAAGGCCAGTTCCCAAAGGGGAATGCTCAACACAGCCTGTTACTAGGGTTAAAATGGACTGCGAAACCTCTGTGGCTGCAATAGAAAATACTTAATGCGTAAGCTTTTAGGCAGAGGGTTTCATGCTAACAGCTCAGTCCAACAGGCTTGACAGTCTGACAGAAAACATCAGCACAAATATCAGCACACAGTTGGAAAAAAAACAACTTGGAATCTCG